ACATGTTCACAGACATTTTAATACAGTTTGGAATCTAAATTATTTCTCAGGAAAAACAAATCAAAGCAAAACTACAGCCATCTCCAAAACATTCCTCTCACATCAAAACAGAATCCGTCTCAAACCTCAGGGCTGGGTAGCTGTGAATCCTAGAGCTAAATGATGTTTCATCAGGTCTTTTTTGTCTTAAATTCTTTGGATAGCAATATTTCAGCAATAGTTCAGGTTTTCCTCCAAGAGCTCATCAGCAGCACCATTATGAAGCGAAGAAGAGCGAAGAGCGAAGAGCCGAGCCGCTCACAGACGCGTCTCCCAAAGCAGAGCCTGGTTATGAATTTTAATTAAAGCAATAAAAAGGTCTGTATTTCCATTCACTTCGTTATCAATCCATCTCATCTTCTGGAAGTGGTCCAAGGAGTGAAGCTCCTTGGACCACTTTTTGAGAAGATTTTTTCTCTCCTCTAGAGGAAGAACCTTGGATGTGATTTTACGTTTTTGTAGAAAGATGGAAAAAAAAATGACTTTCCAGAGATTTTCAAAAGTCATTTTCTTACAAGTCTATGACAGGTTCCAGGTCTCTAATGGCTGAAATAAGAAATCTCTCATCAGATTCATGTCCTCCGTATCTGCTGACACAGACAGTTGGTGTATGTTAGAAATTCAAATCAGAAAACCAGTGGAAAGTCTTAGACATCTGCTGGGAGACTGTTGTTATTCAAGACTTCTCAAACACTTCATATATATATATATATATATATATATATATATATATATATATATATATATATATATATATATATATATATATATATATATATATATATGAAAATACCTCAAATAGGACACAAACACTTCAGACTAGAATCTGTAGTAAATATGGTTTATTGTCTTCATACCAATTTGACTCAAACAATTTTCAGGATTATTAGGAAAGAATTAAATTAATCCACACTGAGAAGCTTTTAGCTGGATAAAAGCAGTAAACATGCTAAATTATCAAATAAAGCTAAAGAATTTAGATTTTTTTTTGTAATAGTGATCATTCGTATTTCAACTTCAATTCAAATTTCTAGTTCAATGTTGAAAAAATTACAAGGAAGTGGAAAAGTCCACAGCTTTTTCACAACCACAAAATCCAATATGGTGGCATATAATATAAAACTTAATTTTAATTTTTGCCTTTCCCAGCCTGGTTTAGTGAAGCCGTGACAGAGTTTGGAAAGAAAAACAGAGGAATATATTACTATGAGCTTGTGTTATAAGTCATGTCTGACCTTGGTTGAGCAACTTAAGTACAAATGGCTTAGATCATAACGGCTTCATCTGAGGGAAGATGCACATTATTATACTGACACTATCAGAGTTCACTTACATTTACAGTAACCATCAATTAAGTAGGTTTGTATTTTCAAAGCGCCTTTCACAGACAAAGTGCAGCGCAACAGAAATCACATTTATGTTGCTCATTTTGTAAAAACAAGCATAAAGTGGTAGGGATCCCAAGTCGTCATTAAGCCAAAGGAAAAAATGAAAATGCCAAAGCAGAGAAGCTCCAGATGAAGTCTTCAAACGGAGGGAGAACCAGAATGGACCACTGGAATGCACATGCATGCATGAATATGCAAAACAACAACGCAGTGCAATGCAAAGCAGACCATGAGTCATTAATGACTCTCGATAATCAGGCCGCGGCGCTGCAAGGGCGATAATCATCGGCCGCCTGCTCTCCAAGTGATAAGCTAATCAGCCGTTCGTCTCCAGCGAGCCGACAAGGGGACTCATCATGGCTGACATTTCAGAGCAGGATGGAGCCCAAAGAGCCCAGCCTCCGAGGAGAGAGGGCACCTGAAGTGACTTAATTATCACTGCTGCAGAAGGAGATCCACTCAACCCTGTTTTACACTTTTTTTTTAACTCAAGGTTAACCTGGTTCTTCCAACATTATGGCTTCTCTGCTGCATTTAACGTCTGTTTCAGGGAGCGAGTAAGAACAAGAGACTGAACGGTTTCGGTTTTATTTGTCTCATTCAGGTGTATCAAAACAAAGAATATCAGAGGTGTGATCACACAAACATAAACCTTTAGTATTTCTGCTGTATCTAATCATATCATCACCATGTCAGTCACAGATCTGTTGGGAAACGGCAGACAGAGAAAATTCTGCTGAAAACGGCTTCAGATGCCAGGAAAAACCAACGTTTGCGTTCACCTGCATCTCCTCCGGCTGTGGTGGGTGAAATGAGCGGCGAGGATTTCTCCTCCTCCAACAAGACAGTTGTGTTGTTGCACGCTCAAATTAAATCATAACCTGTGGGGATGCTGTCACAATAATCTGACAGTTCTCAGACAACCGGATGTAGCCAGAGTCTCAGCCGAGCGGCTGTCATCCTTCCACCAACCTGTGCAGCCCAGCCTGCAGCAGCATCACAGCCCTGATGCTTTACACAAATACGAGGAGGAAGGCTGGGTTCACAGCTTGTTCCCCATCAAGGTCAAACCTTCACACAGGAAAGAGAAGCGTTGGTCGGCGCGCCTCATGCAGCAGATGCTGCTGCGCGGCTCCCAGCGGCTCCCAGCCCTGAAATATCCTGCCCTCCCAGCCGCTCTGATCTCTGAGGCGCCTCGGCGGAGCGACAGCGTGAGAGATGACACGGCTCCAATATGACCCATCTTCTGTTTCCTCTGTGACAATTCGGGGACAGCTCTGACAGACGATACGAGTTACACCCAGGTGGAAGCAACAGTCGGGGCAGATTTCTGCTGACGGTGAACAGGAAAACAGATTTTTATGCCAATATGTTCAGCGTGACTGGCTGCTGCTGGAAACGCTGCAGCTGGCTGCAGGAAGCGGAGGGAACACTGAAAACCTGACTAGTTTCAGTCAAGATGCATTGATTAGACTTTAACAAGGAAAGCAGTTTTCTGCTTTTTTCTGAAGGGAGAAAACACAAGCAGGCTTTTGTTTAAGCTGCTTGGATTCAATAACTGACCATGAAGGGAAACTGAGCTGCAGGAACTTCGATAGGCGGCACTTTGGAATCCAACATTAAATAAATACAAACAAGATTTTCCCAGTTATGCATCAGTGGACATGTCCAACCGTTATGATTTTACATTTGACTCAACATGTAACACTTTGATGATAAACCCAAACAGATTTGTTCAGTATTTTGTCAGTGAATGAGAAAATATGTCAGATTTTGATCCCTATCTGATTGGCTCTTTACCAAGTTTCAACAACAACAGTGAAATGTTATTCTACAGAAGTCAGGAGTCGGGCTGAAATATTGCAGAAAAACATTTTAGGAAGCCAAGGAGGTTTTATACTGGTGGACAAATTTACTGCTTCCCAGTAAAAATGTGACAACATGTTTTACTGCAGTAGCACAACGTCAGACTGAAATATTTCAGAAAATTCAACCTTAACTTTCAGTTTTGGTTGTTTTTCTCTTCCCACTGAACTGAGACAGCTGACAGACTCGGCTGGTTTCAGTTTCAGATCTCTGGCTGACCCGACATCGCTGCCTGGCAGTTAGAAGGTCTTGGGTTCAAATCCTGACCTGGCTTCGTTCCAGCTGCTCCGGCTTCTTCATACAGTCCATAAGCACAACTGTTAGGTAAATTGGCCTCTCAAGATTACATTTAGGAGTGTGTGTGTGTGTGTGTGTGTGTGTGTGTGTGTGTGTGCGTGTGTGTGTGTGTGTGTGTGTGTGTGGTTCTGATGGAGAAGTGACCGGTCCAGAATGGACCGCGCCTCTCCTCTGATCAATGATGCAGATAAACACCAAACATTCCCATGACCCTGAGACGATGAGCAGATGATGGATGATCTCAGGCCCACAGCATCACAGATTATTAAAACTGTATATTTCTCTTTGCACAGCTCCCAAACAACCTATAGACAAGTAGAAGGCCTCGGTTTTTGAGGGTTTTTTGTTGTTTTTTTTAAACCTTCATTACCAGTGTTTTCTTATATTTCCCATTTTTATTGGTGGTCAAGCAAAAAAACAGGAAGTCATGGAGAACTGATCAGAGGTTTGACTCTGAACATGTTTTAAATGAACCTAAGTTGATCATTCTGAGCAGAATCAAAGGTTTCTGAGTTTCTCACTGTGAGATTTTCCATCACTATAAAAGTTTGATTAATTTTAAGGTTTTTAAAACGTCGTCACCAGGAGGGCCAGCAATTTTGCCTGTATTTGGTTCAGATATCATGTAATTAAAGCTAAAATTATTGGTCATTATTGATGCCTTAGGGCGCCACAGGATTCATTTATAACGTTTCTTTGACCGTTTTTGGCGCGCAGCAGCAGAGCGGCTGATAATCGGTCAGTACTGGTGCAGCTGAAGCAGGAAAACCAAAGTGACCCTCTCCACTTCTCTGCCTGTTTCACTGAGCGATTCACGGTGAGAAGATGCAGATATGGAACATTCTGTATGAGCCACCTATGGATTTTCATATACCATGATCGTGCATTTCCTTTAATTAACCACTTAATTATTAAAGCGGGATTTCTACAGAGAAGCCAGCAGAAGCGCAGCTCCCCATCATCTCCCTGTTGCTCCGGTTTCCAGCATTGTTCTAACGGGGAGCAATCAGCTGCTGTCCCGTTTGACCGCACACGCGTCTCCCTCTGCAGGTAAACACAGACTGCAGGTCAGCCGTGCATGGAGGGGTTTGTAGAGGCTCAGAGAGGATTAGGTTTCCTGAGCAGTCACCTGCCGACGGAAGCAGCCGGGAATTAGGACAAAAACCACGCCACGCCTCGCATGTCAAGACCCCAGCTGAAACTCAGCTGCGATCTGGTGGAGGGAAAACGGGATCAGAAACTTTTACAGTCAGACATCAGCCAGACGGAGCGGAGACGTGACTGTGAACATGAGCGGGGAATGCGCGGCTGGAAAGTCCGGATATCAGCCGTGATCCAGGACGCGCGGCGCAGGAGGACTCAGCCTCCGCTGGTACCCAGCTCGGCTCGGCTCGGTTCGGTTCTGCTTACCTTGAGCAGCCAGAAGGATCAGCGCTGCCACCATCCAGGCGTTCCGCCCCGGAGAGCGCGGGCAGCGCGCTGCGTAATCTCTCGCCATTCTTCTGCACTGGAGGTAAAAATCCAGAACACCGAGGTGTGCCAAGACCGGACTCCGAGTTATTCCTCCGGCAGCCCGCTCACAAACTTACAACTCAGTTCAGCTCGCCTGCTTTCAAACCAGTCAACTTCTCTCTCTCCTCCACCTTTCCTCCCGCAGCTCAGCGCGTCCTCCTCCTGATTCCGGACCGAGCGCAGATCCTCTCAGAGTCTTAACGACGGGCAGGAGCGCGACCCCTCCCCCGTGTGGCCCGGCCGCAGTGCGCACAGGTAGCCCGCGGCGGGTGCGTGTCTGGCGGACAGCGTTCAGAGCAGCAGGCGGAGAACAAAGTGTGGACGGAGTGTGAGAGAGTCGCAGGAGCTCCGTGGGTTTGATGCGCAGAGCTGAGTGGGGAACATCCGAGTGATGTCAGCAGAGCGTCACCAAGAGGACTTCAGCCGAAAAGCGGAGAGGAGGAGAGGCTGCGGGAACATGTCTGCGTCCTCTGAGCTGTTCAGGTGGAGATTCTCATCATCACTGAGAAAATGTTTGGCTGATTAACTGCAGACGTAATGATTTATTCAGCTAAACGGAAATCCAGAACAGATGCCAGTTGGAATATTTTCTTCTCCTGTTTTTCAGTCTTAGTCTTAATTTCGAGACAAAATGTAATTTTACAGACTCGGTTTTCCATACAAAGCAAAATTATCACAAAATAATGCCTGTTTAAAAATACAACATGGATATATTTTATGTTTTAATTCTAGTTAGAGAGAAAATAAAACTGGGATCACTGGTGCGTGTCCAGTTCTTTCTGGTCACACTGGAGCTGACATGGCTGAAAGGTTTAAGTTCATAATTTATTCATCCTTTTTACTCTGAAACAAACAGATTGTTCCTATTAAAAATGGTTTTGCTCGTAAAAGTTTTGAGGTTGGTACATTTTGTGTCTTTAAAAGGGACTCTTTTTTTGCAATAACATACTAAATATTAATCTGCGGTAGAACTCCCTCATCCCTCCATTTTCTGCTCAGGGTCACCCATTGACCCCCAGTCACTGGACATGGCGCACATGCTTTAACATTTTCTACTATCTGCAGAGTTTATATTTTGTTTCCTTATGTTATGTGAACCTCAGGGCATGGAGGTGAGGAGGAATGTCATGATCTGGGGTTTGGTGAGGTGAGGGAGGACGCAGGCAGACCCAGGTAAAGTGACGATGATGGTTTTAATGATGAAATAATCCAAAAGAACAGAATACAAACAGGTTGCACAGGAAGCAACGGGAAGACGACGAGGATCCGACAAGAGACAAAGACAACAGGTGGGTTTAAATACACAGGGAGGGAAATGAGGGAATGAGAAACACCTGGGAACAATCAACAGGGAGGACAGGGCATCACCAGTACTCAGGGGAACAGAACTAACTAAACTCAGAAAAAACCTAGAAATACATACACAGAAAACACAGATCACCACAAGGAAGACCCTCAAACGACTTATTTACCTGATGAAGATCAGGGGACCTCTTAGCATCGGTTTCCAGATTGAATGAAAGTCAAAAGATTGATGATCTCTATATTCATTTATCTTATCTTTGTCTTGAGAGAAAACAGTAAAACTGTTTAACACAACTTTTCCATTCCTCTATCGGTTTGGGAAATAAGTTGTTTAAAGCTTCCTGGTGTCTTTTTATTACTTCCATCATTAATAATTTTATAGAGTACGTATTTTCATTTTAAATTAGGAACAGAGGTCAAATAAAGTTGTTGTATTTGGTCACCAAATGTTCTGCAGAAAACAAATCCATGAACTTCAGAAAAGATCTTCCATGCAGAACTCAAATGACTCGATCGCCTCTGAAAGCTATGTTAAGATTCAGCTGGTTGGGATATTATTATTGTCTGAACTTTGATCCTCAAGTCAACGTTCATGCAGTTAGCAGGTTTATCAGTAACAAAATACTGACAGTCTGGGATTCTGAGTTTTCTTGGTTTATTTCAAAATAAAACATTTTAGGGATAAAAATGCTGTTTTTTATAACCTCTCATTATGTTCTCAGACGACTGCCAGGCTTTCCAGGAAGCAGCTTATACTTTATATTTGACCACCAAAGAGCAAAGTGGTCACAAAGTATTTTATCGTTGCATATAATTGTGTTCTTTCGGTTATCTAAGATGAAGTAAACATCCCTCTCATCCCTGCTTGAGCTTTCAAAGAATCGCTGAAAAGTTTCCTAAAAAGATGCTTTGATGTTTGTGGGAACCTTGGCAAAGGCAACGTAAGCAGAGATAAACCCGTCCGCGCTCAGAAGACAATGAGCTGGTTAAAAATAGGCTTATGGGATAAAAATGAACTAATTAGTCATAAATTCAAAAGAGTATAATCCAGCACAAATCTAGTGAAATGGGATGGATAAATTATTTTCCTTTAAATGTCAGGAGACGATAGAAATATACTTAGTTCTGTTTATTTCTGCAGCCTCAGCAGACAATTGAAAAGCCTTTATAAAGCCTCAGCTCATATTTAAGAGACTATTTCATATTTAGCCATCAAAGATGCTAATGATCCGAGAAGATCTCAGACTCTTGTCCCAGCTCAGCTTTGTTCTTGTGGTACCAACACAAAGTTAGTCTGCAGAAAAGAAAAGTAAATCTAAAAAGCATTCAGAGCACTGATTGTCTGGAGCTGGAGAAAATGTTTCTTAAAAGGAGCAAAAGAGAAAATGAGGTAAATACACAAAGTCCTGTTTGCAGTAAAACTATAAATATAATTCAGAGAAGTTTTCCATTCAAACTGAAAAAGTTTGAATCATTTTGTGAAAAAGAATGAACAAAATGTTCTCTAGATGAGCAAAGGAAGTAGAAATATACCCAAAGAAGATTTAATTAACTTGGCAAGTCAGAATACAGATGCACACATAAAATCTAATTACCTTTATAATTTTTTGTTCGTAACATGACAAATTGTGTTAATGTTCAAGTAATATGAACGTTTTAGCAAGAAAACAACATTTAACAATCAAATTAAGTCACATTCTTCAACATCTGTCATCTTTTATGGATCTAAATTAAGAATGTTGGATTGTTCGTTGGATTTTTAGTGAAATAAAACCTTAACATTGTCACACTGGAGGCCAATTTCTGTTGTTGGTTAAATATCCTGGTTTCTGTTTTCGTTGCTAGTGCATCAGGTAACACAAATCTTTAGTTTTTTGAAACCATAAATGATCCCTGGATGCACGTTGCGACTCCTGATGATGATTCTGGCATGGAAGCAGGAACAGTTGGAGAAGGAGCAGCTGTCGGAGCGTGTGGGGGCAGCGGAGGGTCTCGGTCTCCAGATGGATGGGCCTTTTGTTCAGAAACGTTTTCTAAAGTCAGAAATGTTCCAAACACACAGAAGTTGGAAATAAACAAACTGAAATCCTCCTGCTGTTTATGACGATAAGAGAACGTCTTTGAAGATGACTGAGGCACTTTTTACGTTCGTCTTTAAATAAGTTGAAGGAGATTAACTGAGAATCCTATTTTGTTCACGAATTGTGGAGATGAGGCAGAATTTGATGGTTTAGTCGTCGCTCAGTCTGTAAAAATCAAAACTACGCGGAGAAATCATTTCGACAGCATCAAGGGGAAATGGGAAATGTTTATGTGAACAAATACAGTAATCAGGCAGAAAGTTTTTGGCTGAAACTCAGAGCCTTAGACACCATAAAACTAAATAGATCAGCTGACTCCCGTCCACACTGAAGGTCATGACCCAAAGATACGACAGCATGTCAGGGCCAGTGTGGAGAAAAAAACAATACATTTCCACCAAAAAAATGAAATTAAACTAAAAAATGTTCCAGAAAAAAAAAAACTCGACATTTGAAACTCCAAGAAATGTCTAATCTGTGTTTGCACTGGCTGTGAGATCCAGTCAGAAACACTAACAGAACCAGATATTCACACCACAGTCGAGCCATTTTCCTCATATTATCCATTTCTGCTCAAACTACAATTATAACACCAAGCCTTTCTGTGAAGTTATTATTCAGATTACAAAGCGTACTTGCCTTGCCTCAGCCGTAAAGATCAGTCAGTGAACACGATTAATAGTTGAAGCAGAATTATGGATGTGAGATTCAGGAGAACATGCAGAAACTGATAACCGGAACTCGCTGTGCATCTGTCTTCACTTTGTCCACATTAAGATGAAGAAAGACCAAAGGGAGGGCTGGTTATCCACTTCTGGTTATCCCCAGATCATTTTGACAATATCCTTAAATTGAAATATTGAATCAGAATCTTGTTGGAGACGTGTTGAATCTTTTTAAACATTATAAATCTTTAATAAAACACTGTTGACAGAGTCCAAAGTGTTTTATTATCATTTTATTGAAACTGTATCAAACGTTAAAGAAAATATGAAGTCATTCTTTAAAAATCATACAATGTGATTTATTAGATTCTGTCAGACAGACCTGTCCATTGTTTACAGGTGAGAAAACCTGAATCTGCTGTGTATCAAATACTTATTTGCCCCACTAAGTGGAGTTATGGTGGGTTATATTCTCCATATATTCAGAGCGCCAGGCGCTTTGACTGCCACCATGTGACAGATGAACATAAAAATGTTCTCTAACATAACAATTAAAGTCAAGGAAACTGCAGAATAGTCAAATCCAGATTGTTCATTAAAGCAGCAGGTCATATGTTTCCATTTTACATCCTTCTCGTCGTCCGCTGTTAAAGCCATCGGCTCACTGTGTTCTCCAAGGAATAAACTCCACCCTCGTCACTTTAACACTTCTACCTGGGTCGTCCGCCAGCCGGCTGTTAGGAAGCAGACCCATTAACTGCTCATAAGCTCTCAGCAGAACCCAGCTCCACTAAACCAGACGTCCCTGTAATGGGCATTAAGGGCCACTAAAGTTTTAACAGGTGGAGTCCAGTCCGAAGGTTTCAAATCCCAACACGGAAACAGAAGAAAGGAGTTTCATCTCCAGAGAATCTTAATGTACTACCACAAACACCACTGACAATGTCAATTTAATGAATTGCAAAAACATTCTTCATCCCTAAACTTATTGATCTTTTGCTAAGCACAAACGAGGTTTTCTGTCCCCCCTGCTTACAGCGCTGCATTGCCCTCCATTCGTTGCAGAACACCCGCAGTACCTCATTCTAAAACCAGCAATCACGGTTTGAAACCCCCTCATCATGTGAAACTACCACCTGCCTGCTCCACCTACAGTTGCAGTGCAACACTCTCTGCTTTAGTGTTTCTGAATAAAAGACGAGCCTCCCTCTGCCTCTGTGCACCTTCAGCATTCAGACCAGCCAAAAAAACAAACACAAATCTTCCCTTTGGAGAGCGAGCTCTCCTCCCTCCTGTCTCTGAAGCCTTCCCAGCTTCACTTCCACCATTCTGCAGGGTGGTGGCCTCAGCCACCCACCTCTCCATTATCACCTCATTAGTGGGTTTCAAACTGGCCCACCCCCTATTTTGGCTCCAACCTCAATCAGCCCATTAATCACAGCAGAGCAGAGAATCCTTCCGTCCTCTGAAAGCTCGCTGTGTACTCTGCCGGTCCCCGCTGTGCGTGCATGCGTACGTGTGTGTGTGTGTGTGAGCGTGTGTGTGCTGGTGCATACAAATGATCCGGTTACATCCCGCCATCTGTTGACTCCTGACAGTAATGCTCCTGCAACGACATGCATCATGTTCATGATGTTCCCTGGCTCTCTGTTCATCCTTATCTAGAAGTTATTGCTGTGAAAACACCGAGGAGGATGCCATTTTATTTTCTGAACAGGAATTCATTTCAGCACAACTGTTTTTTTAACTGAAGCCCTCCTTCTGCAGCAGCAGTCTGTGCAGATAAAGTTTGCAGAGACAGAAAACTTGCAGGAATAAATATGCGAGGGAAAGTTTCCTGTGTGTCCTGTACAACCACTGGAAACCCTCAGACATAAAAATATAGAATAAATTAGTCTTCCAGTAAAACTCATTGTTTCTATTCGCAATAAAGTTTTCAAGTTTCTTTCATTATTAGACACTTAAATTAATCTGACATACCTCACATGTTTTCACAGTGCACTTTAATGAAAATGGAAGTGTACCATCAAAACATGTCATTTAAGTGTTGAATAACAAGAAACTAAGAATAAATTAATCCATTATCCCATCAGGCCAATTTCACAATCAAAATGTTAGAAAAATCTGATATTCATGGGTGGGTAAAAAAAAAGAAAAGATTAAATTATACTTTGTTTATTATTATTTCCACTGGTACCCGGTAAGTTTATGTTCCTATAAATATAAAGTAATTTTCAAATGTACAAACGTGAGTAATTCAGAACTTGTATAAAATAAAATGATAATTACTGGGAAAGACAGGAGAGCATCTCATTCATGTTTGTGTTACAAGCCAGAAAACAGCTGCTAGATTAAACTCCACCTATCTAGAAAACAACAAATGATAATATGGTTTAATAAATTCATGAATCTCATCATTTCCAAGAGCTTTTCTACTGTGACAACTGTCAAAGTTTGTGTGTGTGTTGATTTCAACATAAACACGGCCATTCTGTGAAGTCCTCAGAGGTTTGTTAGAGAATAATCATGAAGACCAAAAACATCCAGCAGAAAGGTCCAGAAAGGTCCATAAGGTTCTTTAACAAAATCCAGAACTTCCAACATCTCAGATTCTGTTCAGTCTTCTGTTCATGTGGAGGATGGAGGAACTGCAGACCTACAAAGACTCAGACGTCGACCTCCAACAGGGTTCAGCCTACGAACAGCAAACCTGTTAACCAGGCACTTCACAAGCATAGCTTTATGGAAGAGTGGAGAGAACAGGATCAGGTAGAATGAATGGTTCTCCTTGGATTAGGCCGAAAAAAGCAAAACTATTTGACTTGAATGAAAAAACTAAGTGTAGCTCATCACAGCATTCAGGCTTTGTGTCTGATGTGCAGTAAGGACAAGGAAAGGTTGATGTCCATCCATAACCCAGCAGCACAATCACAACCCTCAGTATCAGGTTTTAACCAAAAAGATGCCTTTGAGTTTGAAATTTGCTGCTCTGACATTTAGGGAGACTGGTCAGTAATGGTCAGCAGTGGAGCACAGAGAGTCGGGTCAACATGTTGTTAGCACCACTGAACACCAATCAGCAGCTGATCTACGGGTCACATCAGCCTCAGCAGCATCAGAGAGCAGCTGCCTTTTATTCCTCTGCTCTCAGAACTAAAGACTTTGGAATATTACCATTTTGCCAGGAGGGGAAAAGCAAAGAAATCTCAAGGATAAAACAGTGAATCCTCCAAGCGTTACATCCTTACTGTAATTCTTACAACTCCAACAGCGTGCTGCAAATGGAAACTATAGAGTTAGGTTTCAGTGTGGGTAGAAAATGAAAAGGAAGAGTGGGAGTTACAATAAATTACAATTGTCCCTGAGGGAGGGATGACTGCAGTAATCAGAGGTTCTCAACCAGAGGTCCCAGCCCTCTGAGGGAGACGACGGAAATTCACATGCGGTGCAACCGTTCCTGCAACCGATCCATGCAGAGATTTTAACAATTAGATTTACATATGCACAAGGAAAAATCTCTGAACATTAAACCATGAAGCTCTGCATTTGGAAATGAGTTTTATGACATTTATGGAAACATAAACAATGTTTGTTTCTTGATACAAGACACAGACTGAGCAAACTGTCCACAGTGACGAGCATGTTCAGAGTCAATGTAAGGATACTGGTGGTGGCAGCATCATGCTGTGGGGCTGCATCAGAGCCGGTTTTAATGGCATATTCCAGAAAGTGAAAAGAAGAAGGAGGATGGACTTCACATGTCCAAGGCTGAAACTTGGACATGTGTTTCAACAAAACAATGATCCTGAACACGTCCAACACGCTTTCAAAGTCTATAAAGTTGGGACTTTCCTTCCCTGATTATTGGTCTTAAAGAAAGCTTGACTGATCTGTGCTAAGAAACAAGACAGTGTAAATTAACATTTCTGCCAAGGAAAGTCTTTGGATGTAGAGACAGAAGTTTGCTTAAGGGCACGAAATTCACTTAAAATGGATTTACATCACCTGAGGTACAAATTCTCCAAATTGTTTAAAATATATATTTGAAAGCAGGATATTAATTAAATTCATGCTCACCAATGATTAAAACTATTCATAGAGAGAAAAGTCTCATATTTGATGTGCCTGGTTTCCTCATAAGCCTTTATGTAGACCGACTTCCTGGTGGCGGTCTCTCCACATCCGTACTGTTCAGGGACGACCAGGTTCAACAGTAAAATGTAGAAGACAGACAAGTGAGGGCAAGTTTCAAATCAGCAACGTTTCACTTCAGGGTCCATGAAAAGTCTCAGCCTAACATGATCCACCAACTGAGCTCTGACTGCAGCTCAGAGCTCCAAAAAGAGCCGGGACTCCAAACAGCCGGACCACAGAGCGCAGGAAGAACCTGGAGCGTCTGACCGATGGTGTTTTGACATCATGCAGTTGACCCGGTGTGTGTTCTGTGTTTATCTGGGGAAAACATCGCAGCTCTGAGGAAAACACACGAGTCTGCAAGAGAGACTGGTGTTCTGCTGAAACCTTAAGCTTTGGTACTTTAACAAGCAACAACGACCTGCAACACGACCGCATGGAAACAGACCTCTGATGGATGAGACTCTTCCTCACTGGACACAAAGTGTTTCTGGATCATTTGGCCCAACAAGCTAATGGCTTAGCAGCGAGAGGAAGTGTAAATCTGAGCTGATGCAGGTGTTTGGATCAGAACCCAGAAACATTAACGGAGAAGACTTCAGCCAACGAAACAAGAGGCAGAGGATCCACCGTGTTGCTCCCTGGAAGAATGACTCAAACACACTATGTAGGTCAGGTAATTGCAGCTGTAATCTCCATCTTGCGCAACAAAATATTAATATCCGTCCCATTAGTCTCAAAGGTGGCCCAGAGGCATTTACCATCTCCAACAGGTCAGACTCATTAGAATCTCAAGAAACGCAGCATTACGTCAACAGGACACCCAGCGCAGGTTTTCTGGAGACGTTTGCTGACATTATGCACACGCAGCCTAAAAGTCAAACACACTCGTAATATATTTGAAACCATCAGAGGACTGGCACATAATCTGTTTTGGCTCTGAAATGCAAAAAAGGCCACATAAATGCAATTTGGGGGAAATTTGTGTGACATAAATAATGAGTAAGCTCTGGCTCCAGGCCTGTTTGGCCCTGAAGAGCCAACTG